CTTATTTAGATTTCGGTGTATCTCAAAGACTACGAACTGCCTCCCTTTTCACTCAAAGCCATATAAATTCAAACAATCAATCAGTCATACACAGACCACATTACAAACAGGACCAATAAATCGGATGAGAAACCAACAGCAGAGTTCTTAATGCATTGGAAATTTGAATCTCAAATGCAGGCAGCATTGTGACCAGCTACTCGATCTTCATTCAACTTGCATCACATACCTTTTCTACTCGAATGTGAATATCACTGATTTTTTTCAGGTTCTATCTGTATTGAAACTGAATTATGGAGTAGGCGTTTATAACCCATAGGTTTCGTCGATAGTAACTCGTTTCCCACAAAGCTCTTTTAACATTTTTAACATTCTAACCCGTGTACAGTTCGATATCGACAATGGCTACAATTCGTGGGGTGCAACTGACGTACACAATACATTTAAATAAGAAGTAATATCGCAGTTATCTGCAATTAATGATCGAAAGGAGAAATCTAAATTTACCTTGAACCTGCGTTATGGAATCGGCGTAACAGAAGCCTAATTTAAATTCGGGAGGAAGTAAGCACAAACAATCGGTAACAAGGGTCAAGGAGATCGGTGAGGGCCACATCAGGACTATATACACCATGTCATGAGCAGGATACATGAATACTATGGTTGACTTAGTTATGCCGTCGTTAAACTCTATATGAGATTATAAAACATCACGCCCCGCTACAACAAAGCCATTGAGCAGAATAGAAATATTTTTCATTAAATTTCGAAAACGCTTCTTCGGACATTTTAGGAGTTTCGGTTAATTATTCACATTCATAAATATTACGGAACATCAGTTACACGATGAGGGATTGGTTATCGAATGAATAAGTTCATAAAAATCCCTAATGTGGCAATATGAGAGGAATAGAGGATTTGGTTTGATTCGATTCTTTGTGTAAATGAGATGAGCGAGGTCTGTTGCCCGCAACAAGCTCGCAAAGATGGGTTGTGTTATATGGTACATACTCAAAATGAGGAACGGTCTGATTAGCTGCCCGGTGAGCGAGTGGATAGTATGCTTGCACTCTGCCTATGAGGTCCCTGGTTTGATCCCCGGTTGGGTCGCTGGATTCGCACCAAGTCGAAACAGCTGTTCAGTGAGTGATTCCTAAATTTTCTGCTGCTGCCTCATTTAAACGACGAATTAAAAAAAATAGCTTTTTGCTCACTCAAGAATACACTTTAGCTAATAGTTCTTTGCTCTCTCTCGAAGTTATGTAACAGATCATGCGAATATTGCAGTAGCACAAACTGCTGTGATGATGACGATGCTCTTTTCGTTGTTTTAACCGGGCCGTTAAAGTAGTCACATGATACTTGTTTGTGAGTCAGTGTGTGTCGGTGTGTCCTGAATTTCGGTATCGGATTTCCGAGAACGACAGAAAATGCCAAAAGCGATTATCTGGCAACGTATCATTCCGGTGAAGGAAACCATTTACACAGTGGTGATAACCAAGAGTATTCAAACTTGTATCAAATAGCGCCACACATATTACCGAAATGGTAAAAATGATGAAAAACATTTAGGAGGATACTACAGTAATTTTTCTTAGATAGAAGCCAAACAAGCTCTCATTACTCGTCTTCCATTTGCTTATCAATCGCTCGTGCCGAGGGAAGTTCCAAATACAAAATTCTTGAGTTGTATCTAACCTAAATGATAGAATGTGACAGAAGCGTACTAACCCGCCTCCGTTGAAAACCAATTTTAATTTGTTCACACTCTCTGCCGATAACCACTGATCGGGCCTAACTATCTCTCCCATTTCACTTGTTCTGGGGTTCCATTCATGATACACCATCCTGCGTCGCATTTTCTACAGTGACTCGATAAACTTGATAAACTGATAAATACTAATCATTGTTCCATGAAATGTATTGTAGGGAACAGGTAAAATTTCATGTAGAAGCATAAATTGTTTTTTTTAACTAAGCCTCGTGATGTAGAAATTCATTCATTTTAATCAAATCACGGGGCAATGGTGATTTCATTCATATCATGCGCGGTCAGTCTGGTTGGAACATTTTTTGCACATGGGTTTCCTACTGTATTCATTTGAGGTTTGCTACGTCGACCGAACCGCGGTGACATAAAATGAACTGCTGTTGAAACCGTTCTGCTGGCCAAACTCTTCTGTCAGTACCGATCTGTCATACTTGGAGTGAGATACGTGTAATCGGTACAGTCAGAATTCGATCGATAGAGGAAAGAGTGACCATCACTGAACGCTCCTACTTTTGAACGCCAAATGATCATACCTCATAAATGACATGCAGACTGGTTCTTTCCGATGGGTTGAGTGAATTCAGTTTTTAATTTAATTGCAGAGTAACAATTAACTAGTATGGCATATTTTGAAGTTTTCACCAAACTTAAACAGATTGGTGGGCTAAACTATGGCTTTAGAACAGACCCCTTGCTTGAACTTGATCCTTGCACCTAATGTTCACCATTAATTAGCTACCACTGTATGATAAACAGAGGGACTGCATTCAGTGGCTATAAGAACTTATCGTTCGCTCATGCTCATAGGCTACGTGTAGATTCAGATTTCTCGAAGATAAACCAGGTGCTGATGTAAACACCAGCAAAGCTGTTTACCACCAAAGTCGGGAAACAGTAACAGTGATTGAACCTCGGACACAGAGTACAATAAAGTGAGTGAGTCAAAATGCCCCATTGATGTCTTTATTCTCTATCAGATGTCACTCTTTCCTGGCCCCTCCGGATTTTCTATTTACTAGTGTGTTCAGATTTTATTCAAAAGTTATAAGTTGATTTGTAGTTTCAGGAATACCCCCAGATAGGTGACCGATCAGAAACAATCATTGAAACACCCTAGCTGTAGCGCTGAGTGTCAAACATCTAACAGCCTCTGTATTAACTTCCACGTACTGCATGCACTAATTCACTGAGTTCAGTCATATGTTGTTACGTTATAAGTGTAATCTTTAGGCATTTTTATGGTAATTGTTGTCAAGCAAAGAGCAAATGAAGTGTGAAATGAGAAGTTGGAAGTCAGTGGATAGCGTTTTTTATTTGGTTGGGTGCCGTCGGCAGTGCTCATCCATCGACCCAACTGGGGCCGAACCCGGACCTAAGAGGCATACTGCAAACTCGATCACAGGGCAGCTAATCTATCATGAATATCATGTAACGTGTTTATCAAATCATGAAAAGTTGGCAAACTGTTGGCCATCTTTTGCAGTTTTGTTTCATATAGGCGGTGCGCCAGCGTTTTATTTCGTGTTCACCGATGTCTACCGGCGTTGAGGGCTTAATACACGAATTGTGCAACCACAATAATAGCTCTACTATCCAGCCACTCAATGCTGTACAGTGTCTATTGTGGCAACACGCAATCCCTGACAGAACGGTTGGGTCACTGAACACGAGCTTTTATAAGCGATAAAAAGGTGCTCACGATTAGAAGTGTCTTGTCTTTAGTACTCACTAAGATGTTCATTACAAAGAGTTTCCCAGATTTTACATAATTGCTCTTGGAATATTTTGCGGCATCTACACATGGATGCGCATGCAACGATGTATGCATTCCAGACTCTACTATCAGACAGTACGTGTTTACTTAATGTTACTGTACCAAATCTTCTAATTTTTAGGCAATGTAATATTTTCCACTGAAAATGTATTATCCAATTCATCAATGTGGGTTTTAACGTCCACAGATAAATGATAAAAATGGTACTAAATGCATTGATTGAATACTGATTTAGGTTCCCTCAGATGAATAGTTTGGAAGACAGGAAACAGAACCTCAAACTGAACTAGTCAAATTTGCCATGGAGCAAGAAAAGAGACGTATACAAGAAAATGGATTTTTGAAGCTTCCTCTAAAGTCATAAAATACGATCCATGGGCTATTTGCTTCACCGCATCTGTGTCTTACAACCATTTAATTTCAGTATTTACTACGCTAGTTCTTATTAGTTTCCATCATTCAGAAGCCATTGTAAGGCGCTTTTCCGATATCTCCAGGTTTGGCTGACTCACTTTTTACTTATAGTACATACATTGATCTCTAAGTCATTAAAGTAAAGTGGTGCAAAAATGGAACGGAATATATCCTATTCTCCGCAGTAACTAAGTGTTGTCCCAACGAGAAAAGTGGACCATCCGTTATCCATGGAATTAATGATTATGCTGAAACGATTGTATTTAGTACCATTGGAAATACGTCGTCCTGGAAGGTAACCTGCTACTACTTCGCTCTATCCCACATCTGGATTTGATGAAAACCCGTGAAATTTGCCAAACGATCTAACTTTAAGTTTACATGATGACAGACAAAGAGCTGTTTCCCCCTACTGGGTGGGACTCATTAGCATTGTATTTTATTCCCCCCCCCGCCACTCATCGGGTTCTGGTGAATCAAACAGTCACAATGAACTACACGACCGACGTGCAACACTCTCTGACAGCGTGGCCTCAGTGTATTAGCTAAGTTCATGAAGGTGTTGCGGTATATGATTTCGCTTGGTCGGTGGATCGGTAAATCTAAAGAAAACTGTTATCTTATTATCGTTGAGGTTTCGTATTTTCCCTTGAGATATCACCTAATGTCATTTATACTGACACTTCATTGGAATATTCTTCCAGGTGGGTTGTTGGTTTACTTTATTTTTGATCACAGTGTTTTATTTACACAGCAGGATAAAAGTTCCAGAAGAGTTGTTTTTCATAACCCGTCATTTTGATTTCCGGTAAGTTTTTGCGATAGCCTTTTCTAGTCTATCGCATTATGGTAGTGTGAGCAATCCGAAAATTGGATACCACTGAAACGAGAAGATGTAGCGATTCATTTATGTCATTCAAGGCACAGTGTGTTCTGTATTCCACCTTTGGTTGGTTGCCGCAAAAATTCACCATTATTTTACCACAGACCCATGGAGATTCACCTATCGGTATGAAAATGTACACCCTTGGACTTTTGCAATTACTGATAAATCATGATCAGTTGAACGAGTAAAGTAGCATCGATCCGTAGCAGATCGATCGGTAAATGACTTACCCAGTAAGTCATATTTGGTATGATGGGAGAATTCTCGTGGATAAACCAAGCGGGGAATGGTATGAGCAATGTTATAGAATCCAACGGTTTTCTTGAACCATCATTCGTAGTTGAACGCAAGGTGTCCGCATCCATGAGCTCACGGCCCAATGGGGTATTAGTCAGAAATAGGACTTTGATTAATTCCGGAATCACGGTAGGTCGATCCCAAGTTGGGGTTTGCGGGTCGGAAAATATACGTCCACGGCTTAGCTCGGGTGCGCCAAGTGAACTTCGGGAAAGTGGTGAACCTTCTACAGAACTATTGTTCCTCGAAGAAGTGGATACGCTTTCTCGTTCACGGTTAAGTGGAATCAGGTCTGGTCTGGACGGACGTGCTGGTTGTGACTGTGATAGTATTGGGGCACCAGATGATAATCCACCGGATTCAACATCTTGGGATGGCCATAGCAATAATGAGGATAAATTAATCAGAGATTTCGTCTGATTTGTGCCATTGGCATTTTGTAATGGTTGTTCATCCACCTCGTCGGAGGTGACAAAGCTCGATTCCTCTGCACCAATATATCCTCCGATGCCCAGATTTCCAAGGAACCCTTTCTGTTCCGTGACCAACGATTCGGTATAGGCCTGTTCAACTTTACTCACTACCCGGTCAGATTTACATTCGACAACACTGGTCTTTTTGTTCGCACCCCATCGAAGCCACTTGGGTAAGCGTTTATTCAAATTGGCCCCGATTGTCGATACTCCACTACCGGGGTTGGGCGGTCCTGTGGATTCCCCCGGAGTAATTGGTACCAAGGGAGCCGAGGACTGCTCAGGCATCTGGTTAATGTTAAACATACTCTGGTATTTCCGCGGCACACTGCGTTTTGCTTTACGAGTTCTAGTGGTCGAGGGTTCGAAACGTCGATTGCTGGCCATCTGATCTGATTCCATCTCAGGCATCAGTTCGGTAAAATCCGATTGGGAAAATCAAGCAAGGATTTGTGAAGTGAACACACGGACGCACTGACAAGCACACATACACATTGGAGCGTGCATAGATGCACATACACGCATCCGAGCAGAGATAGAAAATAAAATTACCCAAAACCGATAGTAGTATGTTCGGATGGCTACTTTCGGGGGAGACGACTCAGCGAAGCGGAACAAGTTCGATTTGAACTTGAAAAGTTACATTTATCAATATGGTGTGAAATCCAATGTTCGATGTCTGAATCGCGTGTGGTTGTGTGTTCATCCTATTCGAAACCAGATCGGGACGAAATTCTGAGCAGGTGTGGGTCTGTGGAGTGTGTGCGTGTGTGTTTGTGTGCGTGTGCCTTGCAATGTGCCGCTGCACGTGCTTCTAATTGACTGACTGGCTGACTGACTACCTGAGGGGTAGTTCAGTTGTCTCACTGTGGGCTTTCTTGTGAAATCTGTGCTCTCACCCATCATCTGGTGATTGGGTCCACCAATCCGTGTCTCTCTCTACGCAGGTATTACACAAACAGTCAAGTGTGTATGTATATCGGTGGGCTGAACATGAAGTGCACACTTGTGTGTGTGTGTGTGTGTGCGTGTGTTTGTGTGCAAGACTTGATTGAGTCAGTCGATCAGGTGATCGATACAAGCACGGGTTACCTAAGCACGCGAACGTGTGCACGGATTAGAAGTGTACGCGTGCGTGCACAAACGTGCTGTACGATCGACTTACACAAGCGATTTCTCTCGCATTGTGGCTGCCTGCTCTCCTCCTGTTCACCCTCCGGCCATTGGCTAAATGTTCACACACATGCATACACACACAAAGCGTGCCAACACAAATAGTCATGAGTTGCATCTATGTGTATGTGATCACTCTCACCCACCCTGAAAGCTGCGCTTTTGGTGTTTGCAACATTCACACCAGCGGATTGATCAGTCTGTCCAAGCTCGTGGAAATGCACTACAATCTCTTACACCCGAAAATTTGCGTTTCTTACAATTCGATAATGCGTTGGTCAAACATGCCACCCAAAAGCACACGTACACACAAGCTTACGCCACATATTATTGATTGGACAGTGGAATTCTTCACTGAGTAAACTGGCTCAATTAACAGGCGATGACAGTACATCAAGACCATGAGGACTAACTTCCTGGTGAAAGTACTGTACTAGCAGCCGTCCAGTTGGACATTAATGACGTTATTCTACCGCGGTAGCACGGAGTCCATGCGCAATTCACAGATCAATGTGAAATCCAGGAAAACCCAGCCAAAAGTATCTGTGAAGCTGATGCTTCCTGATCAGAATAAAACAGCCTTGTAATGCTTCGTTGTTTTCCGTGATAAGTGTAACTCGTAAACATCGAACAAGAGTTTATTTCTAAAACTTCAAACCCGTATTAATCACGTGAATGAGATAAAGTGCTCATCTGTTTGACGTAGTCCGTACAGGGGAATGGGATACTGTTAAAAAGATGTTCAACATGGATCGCATTACTGACTGAGCGCCCAAAACTCAACGCCCAACAACACAAATGGGGGTCCCTCGCGTCATGTTCGCTTAGAGCAAAAGTTCGTAGCTACCTGATGCGACAATTTTCAATGTTATATGGTAATGACTTAAGCTGCTCGTTCAATAAACGACTGAAATCAGCAATCGCTCGAATCTACCATACAGCCGATCTCCCAATCGTCTACCGGATGACGAGGATACCTAAACCTCCCGGGAAAAGAACGTCTTCCTCTATACGCGGAACTCTAATCTGATCTAGCAATTATAATGTGAGTACGGAGCCACCTACGTGAGCAGAACATAGCGACAATTAAGCGACCGGGTGATGGAGCATATTCCAAATCGGGTTCAAAATCAGATGATGCAATTGAGGTCAAGTCCGCTGCTTAGAAACGACGATCGGAACTACAAGACCCAGTCCTCAGCCATTGGGTAACATCTGCTGTTGACGCAAAACCAGATCGACCGACGCTCGGTGTTTTGGATTGTATACAAGTGACGAGGCTCAAGGTTACTATGATTTGCTGAAGCCATTGTTGTAAATCGGTGGAGACCCCGCCCTGTCAACACAAAATCTTTGTCAGTCTGTCCATACCATGTTTACATGGTCCTTTTACAGTCCCTCTTTTTATGATTCGCCTGCTTTAATGTATTTTATCTTACTTTGATTCCATACTAAACCCTCACATAAAAATTGTATTGCAGTATGCACTACGTTGGGATGAGGGCAGATGACCCGGGACATACATTTAGCAGTATTGCAATATAAGTTTTTCTTTATTCTTTTCTTTGATAATTTTCCATTTTCATAAAAATATGTCATTGACAGAAGAATACAAGGAAAGCTGTTTAAAACGGTATGCCATATGAACTGCTTTGGAATTTAAGTCGTTCGAATGGATGGATGTGATTGCTTGACGGTTCAATTTTGCCAATTCAGAATATCCTTGGCGAAGATTTGGAATCAAAAATAAGCTAATCGCTATATTCAGCGAACAGTAAATCAAGAACGACCCGGAGTTTTGCTACTGAAATATCTGAGAACGAAATGCTGCGAGTATTCGGTTAGTTTAGTTAGTGAACAATTTGTTTCACCCTGAAAGTTATTCCAACCTTAGGTGACATGATATGTTCCTTATTTTGCGGTGTTCGAAGACATTGTTTACTGCCAAGAGATTTGATTTTGCCAGTTCATTTTAAGCTGATTGGGGTAGAAAGATCAATTTAGTGACAAAAATGCAGTGGGGTAATCACAAAACATTGAGGTGTAACATTATTATAAATATAATAACAAACGTGGCATATAACTTCTGTGATAATCAGCGTAGCAGATATCTCGATAAGATTCAAAACACGTGGCGGGATTACGCTAACGACTCGTGGTTTGTTTTGATATCTTAGTGAGTATGAATGATCACTTATATAAAATTTTCACTGTCAAGCTTACATTGTTTCATCATCGGTTGCGTTTACCTCTATCTATGGGGTGCAAACGATGTGATTATCCAGCATATATTGCACAATAGAACGAGAACCAAAATTATACCGCTTGCTCGTGGATTGCTATTTACCGAGAACTTGCTAATTATCATCCAAATGTCCTTTATTTATATCGTGAGGCTACTTTTGATTGGTCGGAAACTGGATGTCCAAAGTTGTATGGGTACGGTTTTACAATAAAGATCATTATCACTCACAGCATCAATTCGGCCCCTCAAGAGATGTTCGTTGTGAAATTTCTAGCTCCCTGAATAGAAAGATATTGTTTCTGATATAAAGAAAACCACATTACTATTCTTTTGACGCTCTTAACCGGTTTGTATAGCGATGATCAATGCAACGTAAACGATACAGCAAGTCTCCTGAAGGATAGTAAGTATTGTAGTTCACTGACGTAATGTGTGACAGTTTTGGAACTGACAAACATATTTACGGTCATTGCACGATCAATTCAGGGTTTTTCTCCTGTTTCTAGTTTGCTCATGCTCTTCATGAGCATCATTTCTGTGAAATTTAAAAACTCTTTTATCACGTGCTTCATGACTTTTGCGTTTTACAACAGCTGCTAGCTAGTTTTCTTTAAAGAGAGAAACGATTTTCGGTAAATTTGCTCCCAAAATGAAAAATTCTATCAGTGTGCGAAAATTAATAAATTCAGTGAATTTTATCCAGGAAATTAGTCATTTGTTTATAAGTAGTCTTTCGTGATACGCATGGATGTATCCAAATTACGCCGCCCATCGAAATGCGAGATCAAATGCAGCTCATAGCAAACCTGTATGCCCCGTAACCGACAGACTGATAATGAATGAAGGTTGAGAGAATAGTTGTCTCGACACGTTTCTTGTGTTGGGGATCGACAAACATATAGAGCCTGGTGGTATGGTAGACTAGTGTCGACCTTATGTCTCGGCGGTTTAGCCCCCACACAGAAAGGCGGTTGCATTCGATGTTTGATGGAATTTTGTGTGCCGTAACCGACAAATCTAATCCGGGGAACTGGGGAATCACATGTGTGATGCTGGAAAAAGTGTTTCAAATGTTAGAAAAATCTCTCCTGGGGGCGTAATCGGCAAGCCAAGCTAATAACTGTCTAGGACAACCGAGTGTCTCCAATTTAAGAGGGAGAAGTGCATGAAGAATAGAATTGAAAGCAGATGAGTAGTCCAGAAACAAAAAACGAACAGATTTTGCAGTCTTTCAACGATTTGGTAATTTTATACAAAAGTGGGGAAACCGCGTGTAGCTTGCATCTGTTTGGTTTACAAGGAAACTGAAGAGGATCATACCGGATTTTAAATG